CAAAACAAAAAAAACACGTCAGATACAAGATTATGTGTGCAAGGTTAGATTTCTAGAACGTACACGACTGCTTAACTCTGTGTTTAACTCTCAGACAAAGATTAAACATTAACGATACCTACCGTTGTCAAATCAACCAAGAGGCTCGAATCAGGAAGGCTTGGGTATTTCGAACTTTGTAAATAGCATTCATTTCAAGCGCAGACTTTATTTGAATGTAATAAATGTAAGTGAAATGTATTCATGAGCCATAATACTCGTACCTTCTAAAGTTATGACTTTTACTCTTAAAATTGGTGACAAATACTTGCATAAAATACAAACATATACCATTTTTCATGCAACAACAATTCGTATACAGCATTGGATTTATTGGATTTGTACGCGTTTCGACTTCACAGTGAATTATTTTAGCGTCATATTTGAAATGGCTTGCTCGATACAAGATGTCAGACGAGAAAATTGGGGTCTGTAAAAATGTTTGTTGGTTCAGTCAGGCAATGTGTGGACCAAAACATCGCCCACTATTTGAAACATCGCCCATGGGCGGGGTATCAGCCGAATCCAGTATATATAATTTTTTCAGCCTACATCACCAGCCTACAATTTGAGATATAGCATAGTATCTCTGATATAGAAATCTATATTGATGAAAGTGTTATAATACTGATAAAATGGCCACCATCCACTAAAATACAACCATCATTTTCTCAAAAATTAAGCTGGTTGCCAAAGGTTGCCAACATTTTTTAAGTCATTGCATTGCCCTGAAGTACAATTTTTTGAAAAATTAAATAAATTCTGGGTATTTATGAGTAGGATTCTGTCCATGTGATACCAACGAAATCTTATTTTATGATTGTTTAAAATAATAACCTGACATTTCAAATTTGTTGGATATTCTTTAGTTGACAGAAATAATGAATAATTTATAATTATTATGCAAATTGTAAGCTCATTATTCATAACTGATGGTGTTTACATTATGTCATAGGCTGATCCAACATTTGACCCGTGGTTAGTGCCGCATTCCTGTGGACAGAAATGTGATCAAGTTTTACAACCTGAATGTGGACATGCATGTCTACTGTTATGTCATCCAGGTATGGTATAATAGATTCAAGGTAGAATTTATATTTAAAGGCGATACTAGATAAATGATACTAGATAAATGATACTAGATACTAGAGGCAAACTGCAATGTGTTTTTACTACTGACATTTCTTGCAACATTGTTATTATACAAGAGCGTTTGCGAACAGCATGCGTTTATTAACTTTTAATCACACTTGCATCGCATATTTGCACTGCACATTCTGACCACTGCAGTGATGACTGAAACATGCTCTAGAAAAACATTGCCACCTGATTTTATATATCACACATGATAGTGAGATCATTTCCTTAATGGAAAAGGATATATTTATGTATATATTGAAAAACTAAAATTACCATGGCTGAGCCAGTATTCAATCCCGGTAAATGATATGGAAAATGCTTGATTAAAATTGTTGATGTGAACACAATAAAATGGTTAACATGAATGTGATAAATTTGTAAATATGTGATACATTGGGTGAAAGCCATAATATACTGTAAAATACTTTCTCTTCGCTTGGAATTTCATTGTTTTCGCTGAAGGAATGATTCAGTGAAAATAAAATCCAGTGAATATATCTTTTTACCTATGTTTTATATTCAACTTGTCAAAAATCAGTAAAAATAAAATTCCATACAAAACACCCAAAAAGTCTTTTCAGCGAAAAATTAATTCCAGTTAAAATAAAGTATTTTACACTAGTTATTGGACTGCCTGTGGTGATATGAATCCAGGTCACATTTAGGTGACCATACTTATGATATTCTTGCTGATAATGATTATTATGATTTAATCATCTAGGTCCATGTCCGCCTTGCCCTATAACAGTACGTACATCTTGTCATTGCGGTAGACAACCAGCCGTTGTCAGGAGATGTAGCGCTAAAGAATGGAGCTGTGGTCAGTCCTGTAATAAACCTTTACTCTGTGGTCAGCATTATTGCCAACAACCTTGCCATAAAGGTTTGTCATTTATTTTCTATAGAGTTTATTGTACTTTTCAATGAAATACTCGCTAATAATAGTAGTTTTCAGATTTGTGCATGATAATTGGGTAATTTGCATATCCTTTATCTTAAGTTTACATTTCTGAGAGCAGATATTTTTCATTACACAAGTGTACGCTTACATTACCAAAACAAATAAAATCAGAATGGTCATTATAACAAAATGCTTACCTCACATTGAGGCTTTCTAAAGCATTAGGTGTTCCAAGGTCTATGGAATCAGCATCTATTTATGAACGGTATTACTTATTAGCTATGCAAATTTATGTAAATGTAACATACTCTGGCTTTACTGTACCCAAGGAAGGCAAAATTCTCATTCTTCATTCGCTAGTTGCTTCATATGCAAAACATACTGATGACTCTGCATTAGGTTAACTGCTTTTCAAATCAATCAAATTTATGATCGATGAACATTACTATGGTCAGCTATTGAATATTACATGCCTATGCTTTATTTGTATGGTAAAGGTCTCTGCTTTGCTGAGCTGATATATAACAAAATACAAAAAACTATTTTGGAAATTATCCGGATAATTATTTCATTTATTTTTGAAATCAGTAACCTCTCATTAAATGTTTTTTTAATTTTAACTTTGGGTATATGTTACACCACACTAATGGCAACCAATTCTGATACAAGTCGTTGATTGATAAATCTGGATTACAAGATCATTTTCTTATGTGTTTCTTTCCCAGGAGAGTGTGCACCCTGCGGTAAGCAGAGCATTCAGTCATGTCTGTGTGGTAAAGAGCAAATTCAAAGACCCTGTAGTAGCCCTCAATGGCAATGTGCACAGATATGTAATAAACCGTTTGCTTGTGGATTCCATGTATGTGATAAACACTGTCATAGTGGAGAGTGTGGTACATGCCCCAGATCTGGTAACAGAACATGTCCATGTGGTAAAACAAGTAAGTAGTAGTGCTATATATATGTGCATTTTGGTAAGAGTTTATTAAGTGCAAATAGGGTGTTATAATTTTGGAATATTGGGGCCAGGTAAATATGTAGCAAAACATCACATGATGGGTTTGATTCAATTTTTTAACACAAAGCCTCCATGGTGAGCCAAATTAATGGAAAAGCAGTCAGCAGGCAATATGTTAACATGTTTAGGTAATTCCTACTGGTCATTATTACACATGTACTGTTTGCTGTGGAATAATGTTGGTATATGCAAATGAGAGAAAAGATTGATTTTTTTTTTCCAAAGTGTCAGCCCTCCCATAATTATTGTTGAATCTTATGCTTGTGTAATTTGTATAATGAGACTTCCACATTCTTGTATAAACAGAGTATCAAGAGCTATTAAATAATTATGCAAATTAGTCATATTCTCTGAATTTTCACAGCAAATTCAAAATGAGGTGCCTTCAAAGTAAAATTCTGCAGAATTTTAGCAAATCAAATTGTTTTGTTTCTATATAGGTCAGCAAATAAAAATGTTTGAAAAAGGTTACAGTGTCAAGTCACATTTGTTTTTCTTCGATGCCAATGTCAAAAATACACAATTATAAAAAAAGCCCTGTTTTTATTTTTTTTAAAAAGCTACACTTGCCAATCAGCACCTTCATTTGCTAGTGAATAGAATTAACCAATCATTGGTCAGAATTTGGAATCGAATACTTCTCTTTCCTGCACTCATATGAACATCTTGGATAAAGTGGTTACGACTTTTCTCGCAATTTTTGCCAAGTCTGGGTACATGTGTAATAATAACAAAACTCACTTCACTTGTGAAAATATTGCCACAGGCTACACCACATCACCTGTGAAAATAACTTAACCCCATCAATGTCAGATCAAGGCATGTGGTTCGCCATATTACTTTTTGAAATTTGGGATTGTCTTGTACTTTGACTTCTGCTGGTAATAGCCATCTAAACGTTTAATTCCCAAAACTATCACCACACTCACTGAATTAATAACTATATAAGGGGATGGGTACATGTAATGGCCTTGGTCTTGTCAAATAGTTTCAACCATTTGTTCAATTGTACAGTCTGTATGTGTTGTCACAGTTGTTGTACATTGTGTGTTCCGATTTTGTGTGAACAAAGTATTTGGCTTGTACTGTGCCAGGCAGGGTGACAGGAAAAGAATATTTGGATGATGGTATATGGTTTGATTCATCTGTAGGTTATGAAATGCCATGTACAGAAGATGTGCCCACATGTGGGGATACATGTGAAAAATTACTGACATGTGGATTGCATTACTGTACACAGAGATGCCATACTGGACCCTGTGAGACAGTAAGTACACCAGTTAAGCCGATCGAGTTGGTAATGCAGGTTTTTTAGTGTTTCAATTTTTCTCTCAGGTCCACATGATGGAATTTTCAATCATTTTTCTTGTTTTAAATTCTTCAGTGCAGGCAGATGGTTACTAAGAAGTGTCGCTGTGGAGCTCGTAAGAAATCAGTACAGTGTTATAAGGATTACCTATGTGATACAAAATGTCCGAAAATCAGGGATTGTGAGAACCATCAGTGTAAAAGAAAGGTGAGCAATATTAAATTAAAAAAAAACAATATCCTACTGGTCATCACATATATTTTGTTTTGTTGTGAACAATATTCCATACTTAGAACTTTTTGGCAGACAGTGCTGTATGACCATCTTCTGATTATAATGGCATTGTTGCAATTAACAGTCTTCTTAAGTTGAAGGATCTATTCATCTCGTATTTTTTAGAAACAGATACCAAAAGAAAGTTTATGTAATCAAGTTCATTGAATTGCGAAATCTAATAGATTTCTAATAAGTTTCCTACACCTCAAAATTGGATATTCTAGAATCTACATTGCTTGTGTTGTGAAATACTGTTATAAATGTTTTACAGTGTTGTGATGGCAACTGCCCAAGCTGTGAGCAACCATGTAACAGATTACTATCCTGTAAGAACCATAAATGTCCATCCAAGTGTCATGTAGGTATGTGAAATATTCTACGTATGAATGTACACAAGTATGGTTGTTGTGCATGAAGGAATCAATTGTGTATAGAAGTGCACAAAACAAGAATGGTTGTACACTTAAAGCGGGAGGGTCATCCCCTGCGCACACGCTGGAATTGATAACAACACATACTAAGAACGCAAAGGTTAGACGCTTGCTTGTAAACAATGACACGCTATATGGCCACCTGACGCATGCGTAGGTGATGACTCTCTCGTTTTAATTATTAATTTTAAAATATCAAATATTTTGGCCATAAAACACCTTTGTCTGTCAATTACACAAGTGCGAATTTTGAAAATGATGGGAACAATGAACATGATAATGATACAATCTTAGTCCCTGTTACAGTGATCCAGTGTAATACTGAAAAATGTGCCAAACATTTTACATGTCTTTGTCAGTACTTAAAACATACATATTAGTGCTGTCAGTTACTAAGCTTTACTTGTATACATCTCTGTGTATATTTAGGGTTATGTTATCCTTGCCCTCTGATGGTGGATATCAATTGTCGGTGTGGAAGTACCACATATGCTGTACCATGTGGAAGAGAGAAGTACACCAAACCACCAAGATGTAAACAGCCCTGCAAGTAAGTAATTTATACTATGTGTATTGTATGGATGCTATATATTTTGTCTGGAGTGAATAGGGAATTTCTTTTTTGAAGGGATCCCTAGTTAGAAGCTTTGATCTCGTATCCAGACTTGGTATATATATGTAGTTGACATTAGAGAGGTGTTAAAAATTGAACCAGTATGTTGGTATTTGTGTTATAATATTTAGCTATGATCTGAATAAAACAAATATTTCCTAATAAAAAAATTACTGTGCTGGAAGGTAAAAATGAAAACCATCCTTGTGTAATCTAGGTCAGATTTCACAATAAACATTTATATCCCAATAAATATTAGCTATATTGGATCGCACTGAAATAAAACTTTAACTAACGGTATGTGGCGCTGTTAAAATCAAGCATTTCTGCCATTTTTGAACCAGATAGGCCAATTTTGTTCAAATTTGGTATAGACTTGACTGATCATGTTCAAACTATATACCGTATTACCCCGGGCACGCGCCCCTCTCTGGGCAAGCGCCCACCCCCCCTGTTTTCAT